AAAAAACAGCGTCTAGTTGGTTTGGAAACGATGGTCATTGACATTCCTTACATAATTTTACATACAAAATGACAGTTATCTTTATTTCCATGCCAGCTCTGACGCCATTTTTTTTAATCGTATGGTATATCTAGCATTCACATGAAAGCGTATAAGACTTTTGCGCAGTATAAACAAAAGCTGTGCTATTACTATTTATTTTATATTAATGATACATTAATAACATTACTGTTATTATTTAATTTCTCTGCAAAAAGCAGCATCTACAGTCTAAAATCTGTTTTTATCAGTAATCTGTAACCCCAGTTTATTGGAGACTATTTATTTATCAGGTACAGCCGGTAATGTCTTAAAATCCATGTTTTTGAATTAGCAATCTGCTCGAAATGTGCTAATCATTGGAAAACAATGAAAACCAATACAGACGATTACTGATTGATCATACAAAATTACGCAGATCAAATTAATCCGATTTACAAACTTGCGAAGAAAGTAACAATATTTTAAGCGCATCGTAAATCGCCGACGTATTAGTCTAATACGTCGGCACTTTACGCAGCACCCGAACTATCCCGAGCAGCTAATGTGTCGGCGAATTCCGAATATGCGCCCCGGGCGGCAAACCTCTCTCCTAGAGGCTTTCCGCCCCGGGCGCCCTCTAACCCACGCTACGCCACTGATTTTTCGTCATGGTAACCTTGAGAATATATTTAGTTAGAATAAATTACATTTTTCCTTATTGTTTATACAATTAATATTTATTTATGATATAACTGCTAAAAGGGATATTTTATTTTGAGAGAAGGGAAGCTTGGGACACTCCGCCTTCGGCGTCGTGTTCCTTCGAACAAAATGAAATCACTTTTAGCACACATATCATACACTATTTTTTCTACAAACAAGTTTATGCTCGTATACAGGGTGTCCCAGGCTGAGCATGCATTAGAAGTTTCTAGAGAACTACAATATTTAGATCCGATATTTTTTACATATCATTGTTTCTCATCGATTAAAAATATTTTCAAGATAGTGGCACTTCCGGAAATACCGGAAGTTGACAACAACTTCCTTATTTTAAATGAATACCCCTATTTTTTATTGTATATTTAAATTTCATGTAAAATTTCATAAATTCTGATGTCAAACAGCCTATACCTAACATTAACCGTTTTTAAGAATTTTTTTTTTATTTTTGGAGAAAAAAACCTGCCTGTCAAAAAATAGTTGTATCGCCTAAACGTCAAACTTAGTGATTACCACAGTCACTGTGAGATTTAGAGAAGGCATGTGGCTATCCATTTCAAAAATTAAATTGTTTGAATGTCATATTATATTGGCCGTAGCTGTTATTAAATTTAGCGATTAAAAATTATCATAATTCATTTTTTTCAAATGGAAACCAACTTTTTTATTTTACTAATAAAAAGGGTTCTCAAATCGTTACTTTTCGACTATACATGTTCCTATACCTAAAATACATAGTTTTTAAGTTATTTAAAATTTAATTTTATGGTGTATGTTTTTCTTGATTTTATCTAGCTACTTTTGACATTACGTGTAAAACAATCAGCCAAATTATTGCCTCCTCTCAGAAAATTAAATATATAAATGTCGTATGTTTTAAATATTGCTGCTTTAAGAGCTTATAAAATATTCTTATAAAAATATTTTTCGTATTCTCATGCCAGTATTACACTATCATATTTTTTGTCAAAGATCTTTTATAATAGATATTTGATAAAAAATTTGACATTGTTAATATACAATATTTTATAAAATCACACATATTACACTGTCAAATACTTTTATAAAATAAAATCTTTGACAAAGAAATCTGATAGTGTAATAATGGCCTCACCCTTTAGTGATATCTAAAGTGTCTGTTTTTTACACTCCAGCCAAGCCAAGCAGCAAAACATCTTCTCAGTGCGAATTAAATGCTTCTTGCACCCTGATCTTAGTATTTTCTTTGCTTGTTAGGGGCGTTGCTTTAACCCGGTCTTTAATAGCCCCTCAAATAAAAAAAATCTAATGGAGTTAGACTCGGGGACCGTGCTGGCCAAAGAAAAGGTCCATTATTTGTCAACCAACGATCCTCAAATAAGCGTTCTAAAGTCCGGCAGACGTTTGTACTATTATGAGGCCCAGCACCGTCATGTTGCACAATGCTTCGCCTATGGACAATAATCAAAATTCTACGTGCAAATTTTTTTTTCTCTCATATCAGATATAAATAATCGAAATACCACAAACAGAATTACTTTTATTGTTAGGATACTCGAAATCGTTACAAAACATTATGAAAAATGATAAAAATGTAGAAGAAATAAAATTGTCTTATCAATCGTTTACTGTGATTAAAACGAATCGTACCAACAAGTGCCTTTTCATTAAAAAAACTAAACCTCCCATGGATGCTAACCAAGGTATGTATATTATTTTTGTACATTATGAAATATACAATTTTATTTTTGGGTACGAAGTTATACGGCAGTAAAAAATTACTGAAAATAACTTAGTCTTTTGTTGTAATTAACTTTGACTAAACTTTTATTGAGTTATATGCCAAACATCTTGTACTTTCAGTTTTATTAAATTTAATAATGTGGACCTTGGACTTTGCTTCTCTTGCACAGGTGTCGCTTGTATTTCGGTTGCGTGGTTGCCAGACGTTATATCGAAATATATTTTATTTCATTAGGAATATATAAAATTAAAAATCATGTAATTTATAAACATGAAATATGTAGGTATGTTAAATTAATATATAAATATTTAACTTAATACGTTCATTATTGTTTTATTAATTTATCGTCACACGTCATTTACCAGTTGCCTAATTACCAAAAGTTTCATATGACATTCACAGATGACATTAACCTCAACAGTCGAAATGAAATGAAAACAAACAACTTTAACAAATAACTACGTAATAATAACTGATAATAATAACTTTAATGATATGAAGGCTGATGAAGGTAATTATAGACATTATTTTGTTTGTATAATAAAATATAGGATATAATTTTAGAAGCAAAATCAAACAATTTTAGACAACCAATACAAGATTCAGAACTAGACATCGTGATAAACAAATTTTACATTCAAGAACTCGTGTAAATATTATAGGTAGGTAATATTTTCACAAAATTAAACATTTTACCTTAAAATCCCAAATAATATAGAATATCACCTGTGATAAAATGTTAAATACTGACATATATTTATTCTAATCATATTTAAATTTAAACTCAAAATTTTCATTAAAAGAAAATGATAATTTTTCGTAAATATAAAGTAAATAATATTACATATTTCAGGTTGATTGACGAATAATCTATAATTGATCAGTGCCGATGATGCGAAGATAATTAATATCACCTAACTTCAAGAAACCAGTGTAAAGAAGTTTACATTCATAACTCATCCAACCATTATAGGTAGTAGTTTACAAAATTAGTCATTTTTTATTATAATATTAAGATAGGTACATTTTTATCTTCTAGATCAGTAGTGATTTGTCATAATTTGAATCAACTCACAGAGATAGCAACGGGGCACTGCACCGAAACAGTACCTATTACAAAATGTGTGAAATAAAACTGTAATACAAATTGCTCTATAAAATTTAATAGAAATAAATTTATTTATAAAAATTAATGATTAATCTTTCCTAGGAAAAAAATAACAATTATATTTTGAAAGATCAATTTAGAACATTAAAGTTAAAAAAATATATGTGTTAGAATATAAAATTATTAGCTAAAAAAAATAAAATTGCAGCTTTTACTTTATACTTTTTTGCTATTATATCAATAAGAACTAACCTAAGGAACAATTTATTTATACTATGAACACACACGCATATTTTTTGACCTTTTTAAGACCAGTGAATGATGTTGAAATATGCTACCCCTATTATTCTTATTAACTAACTTTAATTACAAACTTATACATTATTGTCATTGGAAATAAATTAATTTGGATAGTCTATTGTCTATTTGTTTAGAAACTTTTTTACCTATTGTAGTTCAGGTCATACGATGTAATATATATTATATCTATCTGTTACTTTTTTTATTTTAAGGAAGGGAAGTTAAAACATGTGCCTTAATCAATTATCTTCATATGTTGTTTGTAAAAACATTTTACCTTAGTAGAAAATAAAACTGAGTTCAAGGCCCAAACCGCTTCTTTGCTAAAATATTTTTTTGTCTCAAAACGTAATGATTTACATTTTAACTTCAAATCAGATATTTTATGTTAAGTAATAAAAAGTAAGTCATAAAACTTTCTAAATATACAAATCTGTTCAATTTTTTTCATGTCGTTGCTCCAGTTTTTTTGTCAAAATTAAAGAATACTAGAAATAGACTATTTCAACCCCTTCAGCTCATTTTAAAAATGTGGAAAATTAACAAGGAATGCACTTAAATTTTGCATTTGTTTTAAAACATCCTATACAGGATGTCCCAGAAATAAGTGCAAGTATTTTAGGGGGTAGATCTCGATAAAAGAAACATTTCTCTCTGTCGTCTTTCAAATAAGTCCAAAATAACGGAGTTGAAAATTTCCACAAAAAAAAATGATTTTTTGCTAAAACTTTGAGAACCACTGGATCATTTCTGGATTTTCTTTCTTGTAAATTTAATCTAATACTTATGTTGCCATATTATCAAGAAATTATGTTTTTTTAACTAAAAACGAATGATCCTTCTCCTCTTTCTGTATCACAAATGCTCTGAAAAATATAATATTAATTAAAATTTAAATTTACTTATATAAATGATTTAAAATACCTGTACTTCTTGCACTTCAGGATAGAATATCCTCTCACAAATCAGCTGTGCGATGCGATCACCTCTCTTTATAATAAAATCGTTCTCAGAATGATTAAACAAAACAATTTTAACTATTCCTCTGTAGTCTTCATCTACGACTCCTTCTGTAAAATAAATATCTGTTATTAGTTGAGAGGAAATTTTATAATTAAAATAAAATACCTCCAACATCGATGAAATTGTTTATAGCCAGTCCAGATCTGGGTGCAATTCGACCATAACACCCTTTAGGTACTTGAATTTTTAAACCTGTATTTACTATATTTCTGTCTCTTGCTGGTATTATACAGTCATCTATACTTTTTAAATCGAATCCAGCTGATCTAGCTGAACCCTTAACTGGAGCATATGCTGCAGGTGTTGTTCTAACATATTTTAGAACTGTTTGTTTTTCTAGTTTCAATTTCAACATAAGGGGTTAAATAAAAGAAAAAAATAAATAAAGTAAGTGGATTAATCTAACAATTTATATAACCCCAGGGAAGTGTATCTGTTGTAATATAATTTACAATTCTTTTATCGTCGTATGGAGTTAGAGCAATTTTTTTCTGGTCTATTGTATACACCTCATGTTTTTTACTCCGAATTAATGTTTCTTTGACAGACATACTGCTATTATTAAATAGACATTCATAATAATTCTCAAAAGTAATTGTTTTTAGTGATGCACTTGTTATTCCCTTATCCTTTTTAACAATTTTATTTGCATTGTTTTGTAACGTTTTAAATGTATACATTTTAGATTTCAAACCAATAAATTCAACCATTATGTTTCCATTATTTTCATCCTTCATCAAACCTAATACTTTTTTATTTACTAAAGGAATATTAAATTGATTGTTTTCTGGATAGTCAGAGGTATCAAATTTATTTATATCCTCTCTAATATGTTCATATATATTATCAACAAAAAAGTGGTATATTAAGGAATCTGTATCGGAATATAATAATTTAGCATTGTTATTAAATTTAGGTTTAATGTAGTTGTAATGAAAATCATAAACTATGGTTTTTGAAATGTCTAAAATACTGAATCCTACATAAATTGGTTTGTTAAATTTAATGTTTATCCTTTTCATTTCTATAATAACCATACTGTCATTGAATATGGCAAGATTATGGAAATTTGGTTTGGAAATGTAAGATTTTGCACCATATCTACCTTCCCATTGTGTAACTAATTTAACATCTTTATATTTCCTTACATTTTCCATAGTTTTACCAAAAACTGCATTATTCATTAACTTATAAAAATTTTTCTCAAAATCATTTTTACTCTGTTTTCTTAATTGTGTATTTAAATCGATGTAACTTTTTAACCAAGGAGATTGATTAAATTTTAAAATTTTATGAACTTTACTTATTTCTAAACCTAAACTTACTGCTTGTTTTAAATTTGTATAATGAATAATGTAGTTTTTCTTATTAAATAGTGTGGTTAAGAGTTTCATTTGTTTTGATGATTTTATAGGTGATACCATACGCTCTGGACATAGAGGTAAATCTTTGTGAAGATTATGTAATTTTGTGGGATAATCTAAATCAACCTCAAGTATATAACCGATATTAGAATCATTAGGGGTGTTCAATATATTTTCAGAATAAAAATCAATACTTTCTACCCACTGAAAATCGCCAAAAGGTAAGAATTGACTCATGGCTGTACCATATAAGTTATTTACATCAAAATACATAAGGTATGATGATTGTAGGGTAGGGTTATACTCATTTCCCATAAAGATGTTATTTGCTTTCCCATATCGGTTACTACATTGTGATATTCCACCTCTAATACCTCTTTCTATAAACATTAATTTATCAATATCTGTTAATAACTCTAAAGTAATTCCAGATACTTTTAAACAACTGTCGTAGGCTAAACCTGGGGCTGTATAATACTTTAAACATTCCAAATTATATGTTTTTAAACAAACCTTACGAAAATTTTCAAATACATCAGCTAAAAGCAATACATCTGTTTTTAAATATAATTCCATATATTCACAAAGATTTTGAATTTTAAATGTATCCCATACTTTTATAGCATGATCATATTCACATTGTTCTATACCAGATTTTCTTAAATTACTATAGAAACACTCAAGGGCTGGTAATTTTAATTCGTTTAATTTATCCCACTATCAAGATATTCATACGGGAAAATACCTTTTTTTCGATATATATATATATATATATATATATATATATATATATATATATATATATATATATATATATATATATATATATATATATATATATATATATATATATATATATATATATATATATATATATATATATATATATATATATATATAGCATATATATATATATATATATATATATATATATATATATATATATATATATATATATATATATATATATATATATATATATATATATATATATATATATATATATACAAAGAGGAAGTCTTGACCGACCAATTATAACCAAAACTAAGAAGAAAATTCTTGGGGATAGCGGTCTAGAGGCAAAAATTAAACAATTTATTACAAACGCCGAGCTTTCGGAAAATATATTTCCTTTTTCAAGGCTAAAACATCACAAAAGTCAACTGAATATAATATAATATTATATAAACTTACGTGTAAAAAGTTTAATTATAAAAATAGAAAAATATATCAATTTCTATATGGAAGAAAGGAACTAAAATTTTGTATAAAAGTTAAAATCTTCTTAAATATTCATGATTTCTGACATTACTAAAAATTATTTTGACATAGAAAGGTAAATTTAATTATTAATAAAAAAACACGTAAAAAACATATAAGGTTAATCACAAGTTACAAATAAAAATAGAGAAAAAATCAAATTTTAAATATTATTTTTATTTTTAATAAAATGGAGTAAGAAAGAATATATATTACTAGATCCTCAATATCTTTTCTTTTATTAATACAATTACCATTAATGTAAATTTCTACCATTTCAAGAAAAAGTCTTTTATTAGTATTAAATTCAGTATCCAAAATTTTTGCATTTTTAAAATCAATATTATGTAGTGTATCAATCACATGTTCTGATAATGCACAACTACGTTTACATAATCTAAAATCACTAATATGTCTATTAGTGATAGTAATAATTAGTCACATATATTAAAGATTAATAATTTATATACTAAATTAAAAGATTTAGATCTTCCTTTATATAAATCTGGTGTTGTTTATAATATTAGTTGTCTTGATTGTTAAAAATGCAAAACTCTTTCGGTTATTTTCCAAATGAAGGATATTTATTCTGACGCATTATTTGTCTAAAATTTTCTTCGAAATATATTGCAATAACACACTATTTTCCAATTAAATAATTCTTAAATTTGAATCTGTTGAATGATTATTAGTAACTTGTTATCACATGTTTTTGTTATTCTAATATATGGTAATCAATATGTTTATTGATATCCTATTCAAAGAACGAATGATTCCGTATTATTAATATGTTACTTTGTATATATTTTTTATTACTAATAATGTATCAAAATACATATGTATCAGTATCACATGTTTGTAAAATGTAAACATTTTTTCTTCAATTTTACTATATAATTTCAAGCTAGCGTGTATTCGATTAACAGTTTACAACAGCAAAATAAGATGTCTACAGTACCGTGCACTATTTTATTAAAAAGTAAAGATGGTCACACACTTCCATCAAACCATCTGATTACACTTTGCAAACATCTATTTCGGTAAGTTATAAAAAGTTATTTGTTCAAAACTTTATATTTATTTTTAATTTTGTATAATTTAGATTTGGTAGGAAGACTGTGGAAATGAAAGGGGACCAAGTAGTCCTGAAACTCTCCTACACCCCAAAATCTGAGACGATGGAGAGAAAACTTGGTAACCTACCAATAGCATACATCCGATTGGGTGTAGAAAGTGATGAGGAGCTAGATATATTAAAAAAATATATGCAAATTTACGATTTTGATGGGAACGAAACCACATGTGTGCCAGCAGAAGCCCTAGAGGATGAGGAAGAAGAGGAGAAGAAGCTTGCGATTGAGTCAAGTACATTCAAGGATCCTAAGAAAAGGAAGCATGTAAAGATCAGGAGGACTGGCGAAAATACAGATGAAAAAAAAAATTAAAATATTGGAAAACAGAATAATAACACCTGCATCTGCATCCCCATCATTTACAGCCGTATATGATGAAGATGCGGACATGTACGAAAGCCAAAAATATACTATTGTACAAAATTAATATTTAGTATTGTTGTTTTATATATGTTATATTGTAAAAAAAAATATTTAAATATTTTATGTATATAGTATCTTATGGTTTTTAGTTTGTAGTAAAGGGATTGTATGAGTATATAGTTAATTAAAGATAGTATTACAATTTTAAGTGTTTTATTAAACATATATTTTACACTAATTTTCAATATTTTGTCTAAAATCTATGAAATATATTATTTTAAATATTAAGTTAAAATTTTTGGATATTACAATAAGTATACCAATAATATAAGAAATATACATTTTCAACTGCACAATCTAAACTACTATCTAAATGTTTTAAACAATGATAAAATTTGAATATATTTTTAATCGATCAAATGCTGGACATCTTTCTATATATAAATCAATTATTTCATTATCTAAAAACTTTTCTAACCATTGCTTCTTTTCTGCCCCATTAACAGCAACAATTTCTGAACACACGTGTTTTTTAATGAAACTTGAAATATCTTCATACAGTAAACATTTTTCTTCTCCATATAAAACATCAAATTCTAAACCATGGAAATTGCAAGTTATCCAATCCATATGATCTCTAACTTTTGAATTGTACTGTTTCAATTCAAATGGATAACTTATAAATTTATGTGCAGCCAAATGTCCATTGTCGTTAACGTTGACTATTGCCAATTCTTTAGAAATAAAATTTCCCGATCCATACTGAAAGCCTTGTACATCAATAATAAACATTTTCAATAGCTATGCAGATATGTCTACTTGCTTCGACTGACTACGAGTGACTAAATATTTTAATTATTAGAGTTTTTCATCCTTCATCAAACCTAATCCTTTTTTATTTACTAAAGGATTATTAAATTGATTGTTTTCTAGATAGTCAGAAATATCAAATTTATTCATATCCTCTCTAATATGTTCATATATACTATTAACAAAAAAGTGATATATTAAGAAATCAATTATTATATTCCGATACAGAGGTTTAATGTAGTTGTAATGAAAATCATACACTATGGTTTTTGAAATGTCCCAAATACTGAATCCTACATAAATTGGTTTGTTAAATTTAATATTTGTCCTTTTCATTTCTATAATAACCATACTGAAAATGGAAAATCCTACATAAATTGGTTTATCAAATTTAACTTTTACACGTTTCATTTTGTGTGATTATTACCATATCCTAATCAAAAATGGTACACAAGGTGTGGAGATTTGAATCTACAAACATAATATGTATGATATTATATCAGTTTTCATATAAGATTATTGTAAAAATAAATGTGTTTAAAGCAATTCTGATTTAAATTGTTATTAAAATTGTTCTTATTCAAATAAGTATATCTAAGGTTCATTAAAATTTATATTTTAGTTTCGTAGAAATTTTATAATTTACATTTACACATTACATTTAAATTATTCTAAAACTAAATCCTTATTAGAAATGGAGATAATTTAACACTAAATTCTTACCACACTAAAACAATTTAAATAACTTACATTACACGAGAAAATTTAAAAATCGAATAATTAATATATAATAAATAATGTGTATAGAAAAATCTTTTTCTTTTATAATTATTATTAAAATCCTGCTTAATAGCTTGATTATTTACATCTTGTAGCTAGTATGTAGGGTTTTCAATCTAAAAAAAAATATTACATATTTTTCAAAATTGTTATTGTCATAGTACTTTAATACCTTTAATTTTCAGATTTCCGCTCCTTATACTTGTCAGCATTATACCCTCGCCACTTTTTCCTCTCATTTCTAGAAAGGAACGGAGGAGGTGAGTCATATTGATATGCTGGTTCAAGTGTTTTTCCTTCCATTGCTTCAATGAGTTTTTCATGATGACCCTCCATCCTCTTTTTGCAGGCAATCATATGGTTAGAGATTCGAGTTTTTAAAACCTTATGATTTTTATCATATGGACAGAGGGCATAAAATTCATCAACGCTTATTGGTCTCATGGAAGTTATTACCTGTTTTTCATTAAAGGTATTTTAAAAAATATATACAACAACTTTTAACTGGAGCAATAATTAATTTAAATATTAAGAACCCTTTTGAATTTTTTTTTTAATAAATACATCTGTTTGTGGTTTTATAAATCTCTCTCCTGAATTTTTTTAATTTTATTTTAAGTATTATATTCAATGTAATTATTATAAAATAATTTTAAATCTGTATTATTAAAAATAATTCTATTCTTGGTTTGAAACCTGTCTCACCAGTTTGTGGTTTCATAAAATTTGTTAAAAAGGTTACATTAATTTTAAGTAAAGATTGTTGATTTGAAGTTCTTTTTAATTTAAAATGCAAAAGATTGAAAAGATTTATTAAAAAATTCAAAATCTCCTTAATATTTAAATTAATTATTGCTCCAGTTAAAAAGGTTACATTAACTTTAAGTAAAGATCATCGATACCACTTTTTTAAATTTGTAGAATTATCACTTATTTGATTTTTAGTAGTGAAATGCTTGACTTCTATTTCAGAATTAGTAGGTTTTATAAAATTAGCTAAAAAGTTAACATGAACATTAACTTTAATCATTGAAATCTTCAGAGCTTGTCTAATTTTAATTAAAAAATTTCTTAAGGTCTTTTTTAGGAATATGTCTGGATCTTTTATGTCCTATTATTTATACTTTATATATTTCTTTTTAAAATATTCCCTATACTTTAATAACAATAATAATTGAGACTCTACTTTATAAACATTTTTCACACAATCTAGTTTATTCTTAATACATTTTCTAATATTTATAATAAACCCCTTCAAAATTTTAGTCCATTTTAAAATTTCATCCTAGATTTAATTAAATGTCTTACTCTTTCAAATTTTCTTATCACTTCATTAGCAACACCATCAATTTTTGTAGAAATA